TAGTGTACTATGCTGTGTACTATGCTGTGTACTATATAGTGTACTATGCTGTGTACTATATAGTGTACTATCTAGTGTACTATGCTGTGTACTATGCTGTGTACTATCTAGTGTACTATGCTGTGTACTATCTAGTGCACTATGCTGTGTACTATATAGTGTACTGTGCTGTGTACTATGTTGTGTACTATCTAGTGTACTATGTTGTGTGTACTATGTTGTGTGTACTATATAGTGTAATATGCTGTGTACTATGCTGTGTACTATATAGTGTACTATGTTGTGTGTACTATCTAGTGTACTATGTTGTGTGTACTATACAGTGTACTATGTTTTGTGTACTATGGTGTGTGTACTATGTTGTGTGTACTATATAGTGTACTATGTTGTGTACTATGTTGTGTGTACTATCTAGTGTACTATGTTGTGTGTACTATCTAGTGTACTATGCTGTGTACTATGCTGTGTACTGTGCTGTGTACTATGTTGTGTGTACTATGTTGTGTGTACTATGCTGTGTACTATCTAGTGTACTATGCTGTGTACTATGCTGTGTACTAGCTAGTGTACTATGATGTGTACTATGCTGTGTACTATATAGTGTACTATGCTGTGTACTATGTTGTGTGTACTATATAGTGTACTATGCTGTGTACTATATAGTGTACTATGCTGTGTACTATGCTGTGTACTATGCTGTGTGTACTATATAGTGTAGTATGCGGTGTACTATCTAGTGTACTATGCTGTGTACTATGCTGTGTACTATCTAGTGTGCGGTAGTGACGCGGTGGTCTTACTCTCGGTGACGTGGGTGCTTCGGGGCTCCTGGGTGAAGAAGAGGTTCTCCAGCTTCTTGGCTGGACCAGCAGCTGGAGCTTCAGCAGGAGGCGGAGCTGCTCCTGGTTTCTCTGTGACGACAGCGAGATGCAGCGTTACACGTCAACTAACATGTAGTAAGATGTCTGCCATATGCATTAACATGAACATTAGGGAGGGACGTTAGTAAATCAGCAGCCTGTAACGTGATAAAGGGCTCTAATGCAAACACAGTAATACACGTAGATCTCTATAATAAGTGAGATTAAGTCTAATATTTATATTGATATTCTTTACCTTTGACGGTGACTTTGGACTTGCAGAACTCGCTGCCGGCCTCGTTGGTGGCCTTGCAGAGATAATCTCCGGCGTCGTGCCGAGAGGCCGGGCTGATCTCCAGACAGGCCGTCCCATCAGAGAAGCTGATCCTCGTGCTGCCCGTGGACGTCAGGTCCTTCCTGTCCTTCATCCACTGGACCTTCAGCGGAGCCGAGCCGCAGACGTGACACCTGAGACTCAGCTTGTCTCCCTCGTCCACCGTCAGCGGCTTCAGAGGGACGTCGAACACCGGAGGCTTCCTGGCTTCTGAGGAGAGATGTGACTGAACATGTAAAACATCTGATCCATCAGAACATACAGTCAATATATATATCACTGAACATGAACCTGCTCCCTGCTTACAGACAGAAACATCACTTTTAATTCAAAGAAATGAATCACGAAGGGAGGGAGGGGCTAATATTAGGAGAAATAAACGTGGATATTCTCTGACATTAAAGTGGTAAGTTTATGATGAAGAAAAGCACAAATGATGACGTTATATTTAATAATTACCAGATAAAGATCTCCTGACATAAGATCAGAGATCAATATCGGCTAAAACATGAATATCTCATCATTCCAACATCTACTAATTTCAAGAAAACTATCAGATATTATACTATCATACTGTTAACCAGATATAATAATGATGAGGTTAATCATGAGCTGTTATCACTGTTACATTGCTGTAAATACTTCACTATCTGTGAACAGTGAAAGAACAGATTATTAGAGCAGTGATTGATTGTTGTGTATTAGGTTACATATAAACTGAAGCACATGTTCTCCACCTGAGATCTCCATGGTGACGTCACAGGAAGTCCTCCCGGCCTCGTTGGAGGCGTGGCATCTGTACCTGCCACTGTCCGTCACATGACTGCTCTTGATGCACAGCACGGCCACGTTGCTCTTGAAGCTCACGTCGTATTTGTCGGAGCTGTGGATCTCCTCGTCGTCTTTGAACCAGCTGACGGTGACGGGCTGAGAGCCGCTGAGGCGACCTTCAATCTTCACCAGCTTACCTTCAGTGTCCTCCATGTGCTCAGACGGCTTCTTGGTGAACACCGGAGAGTTCTTACGCTCTGAGGAGGAGAAAGTGATGGTGAGGTTTCCTCCACACAAAGAAAGGCCCGAAGAAGGAGGAGAAGAAGAAGAAGGAGAAGAAGGAAAAGGAGAAGAGGAAGAAGAAGGAGAAGATGGGGAAGGAGTAGAAGAAGAAGGAGAAGAAGAAGGAGAAGATGAGGAAGAAGGAGAATAAGGAGAATGAAAAGGAGAAGAGGAAGAAGAAGGAGAAGATGAGGAAGGAGGGTTTTTACGTTCTGAGGAAGAGGAAGAGGAGGAAAAGAAAGTTAAGATGAGGAGAGGTGTGTTTCATCCACACAAAGAGGGTTAGAGAAGATAAGGGTCCAGGTGTCTACAGCTTAGAGAAGATAAGGGTCCAGGTGTCTACAGCTTAGAGAAGATAAGGGTCCAGGTGTCTATAGCTTAGAGAAGATAAAGGTCCAGGTGTCTAAACGTACCTTTGACGGTGACGTCAGAGGAACAGGAGTCCTTCCCCACGTCGTTGGCGACGTGACAGAAGTATCTCCCCGTGTCTCCTTTGTCGGCCTTCAGGATGGACAGGTGGGCTGTGTTCTCCACACAGCTCATCTTGTAGTTTCCTCCGGTGCGGATGTCTTTGTGGTCTTTGGACCATGTGACTTTGATGGGGGCGGAGCCGGTCATGTGACACTCCAGCTCCACACTGTCGCCCACCGTCACCTCCTGTGGTGGCAACTTCCGGTCAAAGACTGGCGGGTATCTGGGTTCTGTAGAGTCCCGAGGAAGAGGAGGAGAAAAAGGAAGAGGAAGAGGAGGAGGAAGAGGAAGAGGAGGACGAGGAAGATGAGACAAGAACAAAAATACAACATCTCACCGGTTCATTTTCAACCTTCAGTTATCAACAGACTCTCATATCAGGGTCCTCCAACAAGGTTCATTTAACATGTATGAAAAGAAAGAGAAGAAGAAGAAGAAGAAGAAGAAGAAGAAGAAGAAGAAGAACAAGAACAAGAAGAACAAGAAGAACAAGAACAAGAGAAGGAGGAGGAGAAGAAGAGGAAAAGGAAGAAGAAGAGAAGGAAGAAGAAGGAAAAGAGGAAGAGGAAGAAGATGGTCCAGGGTCCAGGTGTCTATAGGTTAGATAAGATAAGGGGTAAAGTGAAGTAAAGTGAAGTAAAGTAAAGTAGAGTAGAGTAGAGTAGAGTGAAGTAGAGTAGAGTAGAGTAGAGTAAAGTAAAGTGAAGTAGAGTAGAGTAGAGTAAAGTAGAGTAGAGTGAAGTAGATTAGAGTAGAGTGAAGTGAAGTAGAGTAGAGTAGAGTAGAGTAAAGTAGAGTAGAGTGAAGTAGAGTAGAGTGAAGTAAAGTGAAGTAGAGTAGAGTAGAGTAGAGTAAAGTAAAGTAGAGTAAAGTAGAGTGAAGTAGAGTGGAGTAGAGTAGAGTAAAGTAGAGTAGAGTAGAGTAAAGTAAAGTAGAGTAGAGTAGAGTAAAGTAGAGTAGAGTAGAGTGAAGTGAAGTAAAGTAAAGTAAAGTGAGGTGACTTAAAGGGTATCTTTAGATCTTAAATTGGGGTCACAGGTTTGACGAGGTTCAGTAACAAAACAGAAGAATGTGGGGGACAGAGGGGCGACTGTGGCTAAGTGGATAGCAGGGCTGTCTTTCAATCAGAGGGTCGGTGGTTCGAACTCCGGCTCTGCTAGTCGCATGTCGATGTGTCCTTGAGCAAGACACTTAACCCCAAAATTGCTCCCGTAGTTGTGCCTACGGTGTAGGAATGTGATAGACTCTGAATTGTAAGTCGCTTTGGATAAAAGCGTCTGCTAAATGACTGTAATGTAATGTAAGAATCTCTTTGACCCTAAAACTTTCTGATCAGTACGCGGTACAGACCTTGCAGAGTGAGCTTAGCTCTGCAGGAGGCCGAGCCCACGCTGTTGTTGGCCACGCAGGTGTATTCTCCAGAATGCCTCATCTCTCCACGGCTGATCTCAAGCACAGCGGTGTTGTCGTCGTACAGCGTGGAGAACTCGGCTCCCGGCCTCAGCGGCTCTCCGTCCTTCAGCCACGAAACCTCGATGGGCGACGAGCCGGCGACGCGGCACTCGAAGCGGACCGGCAGACCCTCGGTCTGCTGCAGGCTGGTGATCTTCTTCGGGAAGGACGGCGGCGTTTTGGCCGCTGGACGAGTTCAGATGGATCAAGAGTTATTTATAGGAAGAAGTGGTGGAGGTACATATACTCAAGTACAACTTTACTGGTATTTATACTTTATACTTCTACTACACTACGTTTATCTGACAATAACTGTTTACCAGTTACTTAACACGGACATTACATTAGGCTACAGTGTTTTTTACAGTGTATAAAATAGTTAAAATTACTACTTTTACCCTTCATACTTTTGCTGTTAATACTTTTGCTAATACTCTTATTTAAGTAACATTTGCATTTCAGGACTTAATGGAGTATTGTACAGTGTTGTATTGGTACTTTTTCTTTATATATAATTACTTCCACCATTGATGGTAGTTTGTACTTTTCAAAGAGGATTTGACCTTTTAGAGTTTCTGTCTCTGTCCACATGCTCAGTGTCTCACGTCTCACTCTGATGATTTAACAGAATATGAAGCTGCCAGCAACCCAAAGTATAAGACAAATATGAAAGATACCCATCAATAAAATCTAAATATGATCATAGCAGAGTTCAGGGTTGTTGTTTCACTATTTACACACAAAAGGAAACATGGAAGAAATAAGAAAATGAATTTAAATGAGTCTGTCTGCATGAAAATCTACAAAAATCTGAATATAATGATATATGAAGCAGTGAATGTTGGTCTCTACATGAAACACAAATAAAGTGATATTACTATGAATAAGAAGCGCTCAGTGTATTCACAGATGAATGTCTTTCTGTAAACATCACCTGTTCACACTTTCTTTGTTTGATTCATTCTTATTTACTTTTATTTTGTGTCTTTTATCTGATTCTGATCAGATAAACCAGCTGCTGCTCATAAAGAAACGGTACGAACGTCCCCGTATACTGATGGAAGGAGCAACAGTGAACCTGTGTGTGAATGTGGGCAGAAGGAGTCAGGTGATCACCTAGCACGTTGAGTTTACAGGTGGAGGAGGCGGAGCCTATCTTGTTCTCCGCCTTGCAGGTGTACTCTCCGACGTCGGCCTTGGCGGCCTTGCTGAGCTTCAGACAGGCCACGCCCTTCAGGTACTCCAGTTTACAGGTGGGGCTGGACCGGACTTTGCCGTCGGCCTTGAACCAGGACACCTTGATCTCAGGTGTGCCCGCCACCTGACACTTGAGACACACGCCGTCGCCTGTCGTCACCTCCATGGGCTCCAGGGACTCCACGAAGTACGGAGGCTCTAAGGAGACAAACAACAGGCCACACCGGTGAGAATCCTGACACCTGGTGGTCAACATGGGTACTGCACAGACCGGCACAACACGGCTCTGATTGGTTCTGGACGGATTTATTACAAGAACAAAAATCTGAATTTATGAGATTAAAGTTGTAAATATATTCTCTGAGATTATAAAGTCATACTTCCGTGAGAAATTAATCTTAATTTCTCTCAAATTAAAATCATAAATTCTGAGATATCTATATATTTTTCCAAGTTTGGATCAACGTCATGACATCCGTCCATCGCAGGTTGTTTTATTCTGAAAAGGTCCAAAGTCTGGATGCTGATGATGACATCAATAGTATTTCCTGATTGATCAATACGATGGCAAAGTTTCATTTGATGAGTTCATTCATTAAAGAGTTTCTCATAAGTGTATCTGTGTACCCGTCATGGTATCATGATAGGGTTCTATGGGAGAATCTCTCCAGGAGAAGAAGAACCTACCGAGGATGGACACAGTTGCGTCACACGTGTCCTTTCCGGCGTCGTTGGAAACCTCACAGGAGTATTTTCCCGCCGCCTCCTTGTCGTCGGTGCTCAGACACTCGAGGATGCAGGAAGTCTCCGTCGTGGTCACGTTGTATTTGTAGGACGCGAAGATCTGCTGGCCGTCTTTGAACCAGGTCACCGTGATCTTAGGAGTCCCAGAGTAGGAACACTCCAACGTCAAGGCTCTACCCTTCTCCACCGACACATCCTTCAGCTTCTTAGAGAAGGCTGCCGGCTCTGAGGGACAGAACCAGAACCAGGAGGTTATGAGAGGACACACAGAACCAGAACACAGAAAAAATGCAAACTGACTGTCTTTGATTATTTATTTTACAAAAATTGAAAATCAATATAATCTATACATCCAACATGTTTCCATAAGTATTACAACCAATGTTGGAAGAAAATGTTGGTTCTACGTGTTTTAATATTTACATTTCTACATCCTCTACTTCCAGCCTCTCCTCCTCTCCCCTCTGCTCTCCTCTCCTCTCCTCTCCTCTGTTTCCGTTTCCGGTTGCGTGTGAGGGTGAGTGGTGGACGTGAGTGTGGCGCGGAGGTTTGATTGTACTTTCACTGCTTTGGGTTTTGTTCCTCTGTTCTTCTGTCTCTGCGCATGAGCAGGTAAGATACTAAGCAGTGTATTTATCGGTAGAACGTGTGATTAGTGGTGTTTGGCGTTGTTCGGGAGGATGGCGTCCTCCGAGACGCCACGCCCGTCAATCCGGCAGGGAGTCCGGGTAGTTCCACCGGATAGCAGCGTGTCAGTAGAGGAGGTGCTGCTGGCTGTGGAGAGCAGGTGGGACATGACAAACTCTCCTTTGCATCTCGCATGAATAAAGCTGTGGTTGTGTTCGTGACGAGCGAGGCTTATGTCCACAAGCTGATAGAGAGCGGCGTGTTCATCAGGGACAGCTTCGTGCAGGTCTCTCCGCTCTCAGTGCCCTCTACGCGGATCACCGTGTCCGGTGTTCCGCCGTTTATACCGAACGAGCTGTTAGAAAATGAGCTGCGCAGGTTTGGAAAGTTTGGCAGCAGATTTAAAACAGTCAGTTTGGGGTGTAAGGATCCCAAACTGAAGCACGTGCTGTCTCTTAGGCGGCAGGTCTTCATGTTCCTGGAGTCACCTACACAAACACTGGAGGTGTCCTTCAGGGTTAAACACGGGGAGGGTCGGGACAGATCAAATGCTTTGAGTGTGGACATGTAGGACACAAACGATTCGCGTGTCCGCACAAGCGGCAGAGAGGCGCGGAGGCGGAGCCGGCCGCGGAGCCTGCAGCTCCGGCTGCGGCCGCGGTCGCGCCGGCGGCGGCTGTTGCCGGTGCAGTCGGCGGCGTTTCTTCGTCTTCTGCTGATAACAATAATGTCGATAAGGAGGATCAGGGCCAGTCTTACAACCAGCAGGCTTCTGTGGTGGCGCAGAACCTCACTACATGTGGTACCGAAGCACCACCACAGTCGGTAGAAGTCTGTGAAGAGGCAGCTACAGGTTCAGCAGGTGGAGATCTCACCATAGCCTTAGATGAAGCACAGAGTGTAGGGTCTGTGTCCAACAGCCAGCTGTCTTGTGAAGGAGAGGACATGGAGTATGAGAGTGGATCAGATGTTGCATCTAATTCTGAAACGTGCATTAAAAGCACTGATCTGTATTCACTAGAGGAAATAAACTCGTTTTTGGATGTAACTTACAATAGATCTGCAAAAGTGAGTGATTATTTCCCTGACATTGAGAAGTTCATACGATCTGTTGGGGTGGTGCAGAGAAAGGTGGGTTTGGACCTTCTAGATGGAAAAAAGCGCTTCCGCCTAAAGAAACACATCACAACCTTGAGGAAAGTAAGGAAAAGTGGAAGAGTTCAAAAAACTAAGACAGTTTAACATGATCATGTGTCACACGGGGGTTTCCACTTTCCACTGCTTACTTATCTTGTCTTACCTCCTTCCATCCTCTGACCTTTCTATGCAGAGCTTCAATTTAGGATCTTTAAACATCAATGGTGGGCGGGACGGGCATAAAAGAGCATTAATACAGGAGGTTGTAAATCAAAAAATGTTGGACATCCTCTTTTTGCAAGAAACTCACACCATTCCAACAGATGAAGTAGACTGGGGTTTATGGTGGGAGGGCTCATGCACCCTGAGCCACGGCACCAATCTTAGTGCCGGGGTAGCCGTGCTGTTTAGAACAGCAGCTAACGCAACCGTCCTGTCAGTCACTGAGGTGGTGAAGGGTCGTTTGCTGATGGTGAGGGCAGAGATAGAGAGCTCGCTTTACTGCTTCGTGAACATATATGCACCGAATCAGGGGCCAGAAAGAGCATGCTTCTTCACTACGCTGCAAAACGAACTGCAGAGCTGCCATCAGGAGCAACTGATCATCGGAGGGGATTTTAACTGTACTCTAGACTTCACCATAGACCGGAACAGTGAGGAACCACACCCACAGTCAGCTCAGAGTCTCCACAACGTCATCACACACTTAGATCTGTTGGACACGTGGAGAATAAAACACCCATCAGACAGACAGTACACATGGGTTAGAGTCAGCAACGACGGGATCAGTGCAGCCAGGCTGGACAGAATTTACATCTCTCACAGTCTCAGTTCCAGACTGAAGAACAGCACAATCAGTCCAGTTGGGTTCACCGATCACCACCTCGTCAGTTTAGGTTTGATAACCTCACCAGGTGAAAGGGTTAGCTCCTACTGGCATTTTAATAATAAACTTCTACAGGACAGCACTTTTTGTCAGAGTTTTGGGGTTCTTTGGCAGCAGTGGAAAACTGAAAAAGTTTGTTTCAGTTCTCTGAAACAGTGGTGGGAAGTCGGAAAAGCGCAGCTCCGTGTGTTCTGCCAGCAGTACACCTCAAACGCCACCGCTATAATCAAGTCTGCTGTTAAAGACCTTGAAGCCAACATAAAGATCATTGAGGAGGGCTTCCAGAGAGACCCAGATCCCGGTGTGGGCCAGCTGCTGAAGGAGAGGAGGTTGGAGTTGAGCTCCTTCCTGCAAGAGAGAGTGAAAGGAGCTCTGGTCAGGTCCCGTTTCCTCCAGTTGAAGGACATGGATGCCCCAAGCTCGTTTTTCTTCAACCTGGAGAGATCGGTGGCGCAGAGGAAGCGGATGACCTGTCTGAAGCTCCCAGGAGGCAGGATAACCACTGACCAGAGGGAGATGAGGACCCATGCCATGGGCTTCTACGCTGCTCTTTTTGGGGAAGAGCAATCCTGTACGGAGAGCAGTAGGGAGCTCCTGGAGGGTCTTCCCCAGCTCAGTCCAGCAGAGAGGGCTATGCTGGACGGAGAGCTGACGCTGGAGGAGCTGACGGTTGCAGTGAAACAGATGGCTTCAGGAAAGACTCCGGGAATCGACGGTCTCTCCTCGGATTTCTTTAAGAAATTCTGGAACATTATCGGTTCTGACTTACACTCTGTTTTGATGGAATGTTTTAAAACAGGATCACTTCCTGTTTCATGCCAGCGGGCAGTACTCTCCCTGCTGCCTAAGAAGGGCGACTTGGCCCTTCTTAAGAACTGGAGACCAGTGGCCCTGCTTTGCACAGACTATAAGGTGCTTTCCAGAGCCTTATCTAACAGACTAAGAGACTACCTGGAAGTGGTTGTAAATAGTGACCAAACGTACTGTATCCCAGATAGAACAGTTATGGACAATATTTTTCTCATCCGTGATGTGCTTGATGTATGTAAATTCCACGATGTCGATGTAGGTATTGTCTCACTAGACCAGGAGAAGGCTTTCGACAGGGTGGGTCACGCATATCTGTTTTCTGCACTCAGGGCTTTTGGGCTTGGTGATGGGTTCTTGGCTTGGGTGGGTTTGCTGTACAGTGGTGCTGAATGTATGGTCAAAATGGGAGCTGGCCTGAGTCGACCGATCCCTGTACAGCGAGGGATAAGGCAGGGTTGTCCTATCTCAGGGCAACTATACAGCCTCGCTTTTGAGCCTCTGTTGTGCAGGCTGAGAAGTCGGCTCAGTGGTCTGTCACTGCCTGGGTCCTCCAGTCTTTGTAGTCCCCTCGCTGTGTCTGCGTATGCTGATGATGTAAACATCTTCATCAGGGACCAGGGAGATGTTCTATGTCTGCAGGATGCTTTGTCTCTTTATGAGAGGGCTTCATCTGCACGGGTGAACTGGGAAAAATCTGAAGCCTTATTGGTGGGTCAGTGGAGACATCAGACGGTGCCTCATCTGCCTGGAGGTCTTCAGTGGGGTAAAGAAGGTCTAAAAGTGCTGGGTGTGTTTTTGGGCTCTGAGGTTTTTGAGAAAAAGAACTGGGAGGGAGTTAAGGAGAAGGTGTGTGCTCGGTTCTCTAGGTGGAGATGGTTACTACCCCAGTTGTCATATAGGGGAAGACTTCTGGTTGCTAATAATTTGGTTGCCTCGACTCTGTGGCACAGACTCATCGCTCTGACGCCACCTGGAGGCCTCATAGCAGAGATACAGAGGTCTGTCGTGGACTTCTTCTGGTCCGGCCGGCACTGGGTTCGTGCAGCAGCTCTCTATCTGCCTGTGGCAGAGGGGGGGCAGGGTCTCATCGATATCCAGTCCAGGATCGCCTCTTTCAGACTCCGGACTGCACAGAAGCTGCTCTATGGCTGTGGCCCCAGCTGGATGGACACGGCTCGACTGCTGCTGAGGAGAGCTGGGCGGTTGGGATATGATAAGCAGCTCTTTCTCCTACAACCTGAGGAAGTGGACTTGGCCGGGCTGACGCCGTTCTACGGCTCTGTTCTGCAGGCGTGGCAGATTTTTAACATTTCACGTAAAGCTGATGAGACTCCGGGCGTGTGGCTGCTGGAGGAACCTTTGTTCTTCAACAGCTTCATTAGAACCCAAATGCTGCAGTCTGCCAGCCTGAGAACTCGTCTGAGAGAAGCCAGCTGCACTAAACTGGGACATTTGGTGAAGATGTCATTAACAGCAGCATCTATGGTCACCTTCAGGCAGAACACTAACATCACGTCTGTCAGGTTGACCAATAGAATAGTGGAGGAGGTCTGTGCCGCCCTGCCACAACGCCTGAGAGCAGTTGCAGGAAACTACTCTGTCTGACCAATGGGATGAAGAGAGTGAGTACACCCCCCCCACTCTGCTCATTGCCCCAGCGGTGGGGGACTGGCAGGGGGGAGGAAACAAGCTGCTGACGTTCACAACCCCTCACCTGGACAAGTTTCAGGCAGCAGAGAAAAAAGCTATCTATGAAATCTGTGTAAAGGTTGTGAACCTCCGCTCTCTGGCAGGGTTGACAGAGTCGAGGTGGACCGAGTTCTTTGGCCCAGGTTCTTCCCTGAGAGGCAGCTGGAGGTGCATGTACAAGCTGCCCGTTGAAAAACGGACAGCAGACCTCCAGTGGAGGGTTGTACATGGAGCTATAGCCACCAACAGATACCGGGCACACCTGGATCCACAAATTGGGGAGGAGTGTTATTTCTGCGGTCAGACTGAGACCCTGGAACACTTGTTTGTTCAGTGTCCTCGGCTCTCAGCACTCTTTGAACGGTTAAAAAGATGGTTTCAGGGTCTTGGAGAGGTTTTTTCTTTTATGTTGTTCATCTTCGGTCCAAAATACTGCTCAAAAAAGAAGGCTGTCCACACAATGGTGAACTTTTTATCTGGTTCTGCCAAGTTGGCCATCTGGTTGACACGGAAGAATCGGGCTCGGGGTGCCGGTACTGAGGATCCGGTGAAAGTTCTGGAGGGACTGTTGAAAGCCCGACTCAGGGTGGAACACACCTACTACCAGACAGTGGACGATTTACAGGCTTTCAGGGACAGATGGACTACTGGGAGCATTTTATGCTCAGTGGGTGCTGGTGGAGAGCTGGTGGTGAACTTCTGAACATATTGATCATTGAAATTGATTGTTTATTTGTTCTTTGGTGCTTTATTTTTTGGTTATTTGTTTTTATTTTATTGATTTTCTGATTATTAAGTGATGATTTAGAGTGCTTCTGTTTTTCACTGCAATAGTGAAATAAAGGGACTTTAAAAACCAAACCTCTCCTCTCTCTCCTCTCCTCTCTCCTCTCCTCAGCTCACAGCTTAATGTTTTTACACAATCTGGTTGAAGCAGAAGGTTTATTTTAAATGAGAACATGAAGAATAAAATGTTTTAGATGAAATTAAGCTATTTTAAGCTTCGTTTTGTTCCTTTTTCTCATGGAAGCTATTGTCACACATGTTGCGTTCAAAGACCGTCGGAAAGATGAAAGTCTTCTTCAATAATGATCATTTAGGTCCCCTGATGTTTGTTAAGCAGACCGGGACATGGAGTCCACGTTGCTGGTCTCTTTTCCTCCCACCTCCTCCAGCTGTAGTCCACGCCTCACTCCATTGAAACACACTGACCTTTGACGGTGAGGTTGATGGGGCAGCTCTCCTTGCCGGCGTCGTTGAGGATCTGACAGGTGTACTCTCCGGCGTGAGACCCGTCCACCCTGAAGAGCTCCAGCAGAACCTGGTTGTCCTTCAGGGAGAACTCACATCCTCGTCCAGACAGGATCTCCTGGGCTCCTCTGAACCACTTCAGCCTGAGGGGGGCGCTGCCTTTCACCATGGCGGAGAAGGTCACGTCTGAGCCTGGCATGGCCTCCACCGGCTGAGGAGGCACCACGAAGGATGGGGGTTCTGGGTACCGGAGGACAGAGATGGGTCAGACATGGTGGACTCTGGTGTATCCGGAGGTACTGGTTTTACTGAAGGAGGTTTTCTCTCAGACTAATCAATTCCTCTCTATATTCTGAAGGATTCTACAGATCATTCAGACTCTGATTTCTACATTTGATTACTAAAAACATGTCTGTTGATTTATGAAGTGATACAAATACATAATAACCTCCTCTCTGTAGAAACATTTGACTCTAATATGTCACGGAACTGAAACAAGAATGTTTAACCTGGTTTCATCCAGTATATAGTACTTTATACTGTACTACACCTCAGAGGTACATACTGTACTTTATACTGTAGTACACCTCAGAGGTACATATTGTACTTTATACTGTACTACACCTCAGAGGTACATATTGTACTTTATACTGTACTACATCTCAGAGGTAGATACTGTACTTTGTACTGTACTACACCTCAGAGGTACATATAGTACATTTTTCTCAGCAGTAACATTAATCCAGAAACGTCTGCTCTCATAGTAAAACTCTGCCTCATTAAATCATTAACATCAGAATGTCTTTCTGACCTTTTACGACCAAGGCGGCTGTGGTGTCGCTGGATCCCGCCTTGTTGACGGCTTTACATTTATACACTCCAGAGTCGGACAGCTTCAGCGTGGACACTTTGAGCGTGCAGCTGTTGTTACTGAAAGCGATCTCATAGTTGGGTCTGCTCTGTATCTCCTCCCCATCGTGGTACCATGAGATGGTAAAAGGTGGGGAGCCCGACACTTTGCACTCCATCTCTCCAGCTGCTGCAACGACCGTGTTGCAATCCTTCAACTTCCTAGAGAATGTTGGAGGTATGATCTTATCTGTTGGGGAGAGAAACCAGATGTTAGCGGTGCATCAGGACAAACATAAGAGTCAATGTGCTGTCATTAACAGGGCTGGTATGACCACAGTCAACACTGAATATCTGGTCAGAATATAAACTTGTTGGCTCATTCTTTATCAGATAGTTCCTGATTTTAATCAAAATTGTGCCAACTTTAAGGTGCTATTTAGGTAAAGTTCATGTGTGGCTCCTTGTTTTGAAACATTTAACATTTGAGAACTTCTAAGGGTTCTCTTGTGGTTCTAAGGGAGACCAGTGGCTCTCTAGCCCCCAAAATAGGGCCAATATTACTGTATGTTTTTCAACCCGCATTAATCCCCTGGGACGAGAAACAGTAATGAATATAATGTATGTTAACACTGAATGAGTGTCTCGTTAGTCTTTTGAAGAACCAAACATAAGGTGATGTTGGTATGTAAGTTGTGTTTAATGTATTTGGTTCTCCTAAAAGCACAGGTGGTCCCAGTCTGCCCCCCCCCCAAATTGAAATGGTCTAGAACTACCACTGTTTGAAGAAAATCCCTGTTAAAAGTAAGTAAGATATAAAAAAGGACATAGAGAGAAGATATTTTGGTATTATTACTAAATCGCAGGTATCATATTGGCACTAACTTGTAAATACCCAGTCATCAAAGAAGGAAGAGGACACCAACCTAAAACAGTGAGATTAATTTTACTCAGGTCCTTCCCGACCTCGTTCATGACCTCAAATGTATATTCTCCCGAGTCCACTTTCTCAGCAGAGAGGACGTTCAGGCTGGAAATCATCTGAGAAAATGAGATTTTGTATTTCCTCCCGGAGGCCAGCTCGACACCGTCCTTGAACCACTTCGGTGTCAGCTCGGGGGTTCCACACACTTTGACCTCCAGGGCGGCGATGTCGCCCGCCGTCACGCTCAGAGCGTCGGGCTTGTCCACTATCTTAGCAGGTTCTGGAATGAACAGAGAAGCAGAACATGTTCTTAATCAAACCTGCAGGACGAAGGAAGGGGGGAAAAAAACTGCATGAGAAAGAGAGAATTATATGATTACAAACCTAGAACAGTCAAGTTAGCGAAACACTCCACACTCCCAGCATCGTTTCTGAGTTGGCAGGTGTATTTGCCTGCCGTGGTTGCATCAGCCTTAAAGACTTTAAGAGCGACCATGTTGTTCTCAAAGGTGATTTTCCTGTTGTCACCGTCCCTGAGAATGTGATCCTTGTCTTGAACCCAGGACACAGTAATGGGTTCAGAGCCTTTAACAGTGGCCACAAGGATCACCTCCTCTCCCAGTATCACTGTCATGTTTGACAGTTTCTTCACAAACGACGGCGGCTCTGAAGAGAGGAGACAAACAGCGCAAAAGGGAAAGTCAGCAGGGTGACAAAGTTACCTGAAATCTAATCTGAAATTCTGATTTTCATTTGAGACGAACGCAATTTCTACTGACCTCTGAGTTTAACTGATGTCTTGCAGGTGTCACTTCCTACACTGTTTGACACCTTGCACTCGTATTCGCCAGCATCCGAAGACTCTATCCCAATGATATGCAGCGTAGCCAAGCTGCCCTCGCTCACCATCTTAAACTTCCTGCTCTCCATCAGAGGTTTCCTGTCTTTGAACCAGGTGATCTGGAACGGAGCTGTACCGCTCATCTCACAGTACAGACTCACATCCTTACCCTTCAGCCCTTCAACGGGCTGAGGTACTTTGACAAAAGATGGGGGGTCTACAAAAAGATTAGGAAACTGTTAAAGAGGCATAGACGGGAAAAGAATCCATGACGCAATCTTAAAGCTGAAATCCGTAACATTGCATGTGTTGTCACGCTCTGTACGCTTTGTTGGAACTACGTCAAAGATGGTGGAGTTGGTAAGGAAGTTTGATCGAACTACAGCTAAGATGGTGGAGTTGGTTAGGAAGTTTGCTGGAACTACGGCAAAGATGGTGGAGTTGGTAAAGAAGTTAGTTGGAACTACAGCTAAGATGGTGGAGTTGGTAAGGAAGTTTGATCGAACTACAGCTAAGATGGTGGAGTTGGTAAGGAAGTTGGAACTATGTCTAAGATGGTGGAGTTAGTAAGGAAGTTGGAACTATGTCTAAGATGGTGGAATTGGAAAGGAAGTTTGTTGGAACTACGTCTAAGATGGTGGAGTTGGAAAGGAAGTTTGTTGGAACCATGTCTAAGATGACAAAGTTGTTGGAACTGCAGTCTAGGCTGCTGAGTCTGTGTTGAAACTAAATCTGAGACATAATCGATGTGGAGTTTGTTGGGACTGTAGTCCAGATGGCGGACTTCTAACGAATACACCTAACATGGAGAAATTATTGTGGAATGTTGTTGAAGTTAAAATTAAGGAGTTGAAACTTTTGATGGCCGTGTTATGGAAATTTATTGGAACTACAAGAAGGACAGGAATGCTGTTGGAACTACAGCTAAAATGGCTGAGGTATTGTGTATCCAGCAGTTTATCTGACTCAAAAGGTTCCAGCATGTTTTAATTGCATTTCCCAAACAAAGGGGCAAACTGACAAGCTGATGAACATTTCTAAACAGCGGAAAAAGGAACGAGTCTCCAAGTTGCGAGCTTGAGCATTTCACGATACTCCACCATACCGGATGGATATATAAAGGACGAAAGAAGAATGTTACGTATTCCAGGTTTAAGCAATACAACCAAACCTTAACCAAAACTTGAACAACACACTGAACTGCCAGTGCATCAGAAAGTCAGACCATGAATGATAAATGATGATTAGGAAGTCAGTGAGAGGCTGACCTTTAACGTTAAGTGTGGTGCTGCAGCTGACGCTGCCAGCATCGTTCCGAGCTTCACAGGTGTAAACTCCATCATCATCAAAGCTGGCAGAGAGCAGTTCCAGGTCTGCCACTGAGTCAACAAATGATGTCCTGTAGTTGCCCCCATCTGTGACCTTGGTGTCCTGTTTGTACCAGGTCACTTTCAGAGGGGCAGTACCACTGACTTTGCACTCCAGTCGGAGTGACTCACCCTGCTTCACAAACTTAATGGCAGGGAGTTTCAGCACAAACTCGGGTGGTTCTGGAAAGCCAAAATACAGATATATTAGCTGCTGGAAGATGTAGGGGCACTTAAACTAGATTGTTACAACAGGCAGGAGGTGAGCAGATGAGCTGACAATGATGGGGTTAGCAGTAGAGACGGGATGGTTGTGGAAAACGCAAGTGCATCACAAAAGGCAACAAACACTTCTTGATGGGAAGCTGCAGCAGTGACAAAAGCTTATGAATAATATAGAAACAATGAAAGTTCTGCGAAAGCTGTAAAAATGTGACAGAGAATCATTAGTTTTAGCCAGCGATGCAGATGTGAGATAAATGCAGCCACGCAAGAGTTGATTCAAAAGATGCAAGTCCAACCTTTGACTGTCAAGTCTGCACTGCAGCGTATAGAGCCAGCGTCGTTGCTGACTTGGCAAGAGTAAACTCCACTCTGGGTGACGCCCACTGAATAGAGCTCTAAGAAGCACGACAGGCCCTCCAGCCCTGTGAAACAAGTGGGCCCGGTCATGAGCTCTGAGTCGTCCTTGAACCATTTGACCGTGAAAGGAGGCGTTCCCTTAAATGTGCCTTTGAAGCGTACAGTGCCATTTGGTAGAGCCGCCTGGGACTCAGGCAGTGTCACAAAGCTGGCAGGTTCTGAAGAGAACAAGACGGACGGCGTTAAAAGGAGGTACTCACCTTTGATTTAGGATTGCATGAGCAATAATGTGGGAGATCAATATCTGACCTTTAACCATGAGGGATGCTTTGCATTCACAACTTCCCGCTGCGTTGGTCAGTTTGCAAGAGTAGGATCCTGCATCAGATCTCTCCAGCTGTTCGATTTCAATGGACACTGAATTGTCCTGCTGAATGAGTTTGTGTTTCACACCACTAGAGATTTTGGTCCCGTCTTTCTGCCATTCCACAGAGATGGGCAGGGAACCAGATATTTTGCAACATATCTGAACAAAGGAGCCCAATATCTCCTGCATGTCTACCAGGGGTTTGATGAAGCTTGGGGCAATTACTTGATCTGTTACCAAAAGAATAACAAGAATGTTATCAGGCATTATTCAACATGTCGCTATGTACCGCAGGAGTTTTATGTTTTTCAAACCAACCTAGTATGATCACATTGACTTTGCAGGTACAGCTACTGATGTGGTTTGCCACCTCGAAGACATACTCTCCTTCATCCTCTTTCTGAGCCGACTGAACCTTTAGGCTGCTGATGTTGTTCTCAAAGACCAGCTTGTGCTGTCTGATGGACTGAAGCGCCCTGCCATCTTTCATCCATTTTACTTTGAGCTCAGGGGAGCCCGTCACCTTACAGTCCAGACTGACGGGATCTCCCACTGTAACCTTTATCACTTCAGGTTTCTCTGTGATCTGAGGAGGTTCTACAATGCAAAACAAAATCAAACATTGATACGGTTTCTCACAAAGTTAGGACCATGGAAAGCTTTAATACCATGATTAGTTAAGCACAGGTATACCTTGCACCGTCAGGGTGGCAAAGCACTTATCCTGCCCGGCCTCGTTTACCACCTGGCAGGTGTATTTCCCGCTGTGCGTCACCTCGCAGGTGGGAATCCTGAGAGTGGCCACATTGTTCTCAAATGTTCTCTCAATTTTAGGATCCTCCAAAATCCAGTTCTCATCTTTTTGCCATTGTACAGAGAGAGTGGGAGAACCCTCCACAACACACTGAAACTCAGCCATTTTACCTAGAACAGTGGCAGTGTTCTCAATCCTCTTGGTGAATGTTGGTGGTTCTATTAGAGGAAACCAATGAAATATTTAAGTAAAGGGTCAGTTATTACCTCAAAGAATAAAAAATGTGGATTTGAAATTCTGATTAGACTAACCTTTGAGGTTTAGCGTAGTCTTACAAGTACAGCTTCCCACCTCATTAGCAACTGTACACTGGTATTCACCGACATCTGCAGTGTCACACTTGTGCACCTCCAGACCCACAATGTCGTTCATCTGGGAGAAGCCGTGTTTAGCACTGGGTTTGATCTCCTTTGCATCTTTGTGCCATGTTATCTCAAATGGACCAGTCCCAGCTACCTGACACTCAAAACAGGCACTAAAGCTCTTCACAACATCAGCCGGAGCCAGCTCTTTAATAAAGGATGGCGGTTCTGAGATGAGAGAAAACAAACTGTCACCTACCTTTTTCCGTTAATTATTTTTCTAAATATTATATGATCCAAACAGCCTCGATCAGTATTTGATGAAGATTTGGAAGCAAGGTTTCCCAGAGAATTGTTTCTAGCTGGTTTGAGACATATTTTGAACTGTTTAAGGTCCATTAATCTGTTGAGTCGGGTAGTTTATGGACAAAGCCGATTGTCAAAATTCTCAATTTGAAATCTTTTCCTTTTAGGAAACCAAATGTAAAACAGTTCTTTGCAGCAGAATGGCAGATAATCCAGGAGAGGTGGGAAACCACTGCCTCCAATCTTAGTCTTAAAAGTGCTGACACAACTAACCTTTGACCTTGAGCTCCATGCTGCAGCTCTCGCTGCCGGCCTCATTGCGAGCCTCGCAGTAGTAAAGCCCACTGTCTTTGGTATCGGCACAACAGACTTCCAGCGTGGCCACAGAGTTAACAAAGACCAACTTGTACCGATCGCTGTGGCTGATCTCAGAGCCTTCCCTGAACCAGTAGATGTCTATCTCAGGTGTGCCGGTCAGCTGGCACTCAAACACTTTACTCTGACCGGGACGGACCACGGACACGCGAGCTGGGGTTCGTGTGAACTTAGGGGGCTCTAAGAAAACAAAATAAAATGATCGGTGTAACCATCAGACAGATGGCAAGTAGAAAACCATGATCTCTATAATGTTGACAAAGTCTCCATCCAAATGTTGCTCAATTCTTAAGCAAGTCAGTGTGTTTCCATCAGTTGTTTTGTGAATAACCTGAAGAGGCAAAAGAAGATGCCTTTATTACTAGCCATATTCGCTTCCCAAGCTAGTGTGGCATTTATTTACTGATTTATTTGCCTGTTTTGTTGAATTTTAGTCTGAAACGATATCATCAATCAATAAGCCTTCATAGCATCTTCTCTTTGACTGACTCTTCCAGCTCAGAAAAGAACATTTAGGCTTTGAGGTATTCAAGTGATTGTGAGTGTGTGCGTCTATACAGTCACTTCATACAGCAAAGAGTTAAATGAAAACACTACCAACTTTGAGGTGAAGCGTTAAGTCAAAGGAAAAGGAACGCGTTCTGGATTCAAAATGCCAATAAGAACAGATGGATGGAGACATATTTAGTTTGACATAAATAATATATTAACCTTTGACAAAGAGCGTTGCCTGGCATGAAGTGGAGCCCACATCGTTCTGGATTTCACAGACATAGTCTCCAGAATCAGAGGTTTTAGCAAAGAAGAGCTCCAGAGAGCTCGAGGTGTTGTCTTTGACCACAGAGCAGTCGGCACTGGATAAAATCTCTTTCTTGTTTTTAAACCATTTGGTGGTCAGTGGCGGCGTGCCAGAGACTAGTACGTTCAACTGGACTTTGGAGCCAGGCAAGACATTCATGGAATCAGGCTTTTCAAGAATGCATGGTGGTTCTGGAAGAGAAACAAAAGGAAATAATGCTTCTATAACAAAGATCCTTTAAGATGTGTAGCTAAACTTTGATTAAACACATCCACCTACTGATAAATACCAAAAACAAACCTTTGACAAACACGTTCCCAGAGCACTGGACGGTTCCTGCTTTGTTTTTAGCGATGCAGGTATAGCTGCCGCTGTCTTTACTGTCAAGATTAGAGATTTCCAGGAAAGCAACATTCTCAAAGAAAGTGCATTTGTGTTTCTCATCAGTCTGGATCTCTTTCTCATCTTTGTACCATTGTATGGTTATCGGCAAGGAGCCGGATACCAGACACTCCAGATGAGCAAATGATCCTTTGATACCTTCCGTCTGCTTCAGCTTTCTCGAAAAAGACGGAGGAATTATTTGATCTAACATTGATAGAAGAAAAAAAGAGGTGAGAAGCAACTTTCAAAGTACGACGTATTTAAACAAAACCAATGTTGAGTTATTGGTTACACATTAAGAACTGACCGAGAATGGTGAGTGTGGCCACGCAAGAACTTTGGCCGACATCATTTGAAATCTCAAAGGTGTAGTCACCGCTGTCACTTTTCTCAGTTTTAATAACCTTGAGCACGGAGCTGGTGTCTGTGCCATGGACTTTATATCTCTGGCCTGAGGTCAGCTCCTTGCCAGCCTGAAGCCATCTGGCCTTCAGAGGTTTTGTGCCTGAGAACCGGGCCTCCAGCGTGGCCGGATCCCCCTGAGTCACACTGATAGACTTGGCCTCCTCCGTGACCTTAGCTGGCTCTGAGACGTCAAACAACACAGTCAGCAAAGAATCTCTAAACGGAGAACTAAAGTAAACAACAACTAAAGATGCGTTTGGTCATTATCAACTCATAAAATTATGTGTGACTTCATGAATTGATAAGGATCTCCTGAACGCATCGACTGGACATAGTTTATTTTCAAGTTGGAGTTCTCGAGTATCTTAACCAACCTTTGACTGTCAACACTGCGGAGCACGTCTGGCTCCCGGCCTGATTCTGCGCCTGGCAGGAGTATTTGCCTCCATGTTTGCTCTGTAAGTTGGTGAAGTGCAGCAGAGCCGTGTTGTTCTCATATGTAATCTGAATGTGTTCGGCCTCTTTGAGCTCGTGGTTGTCTTTGGTCCAGGACACAGTCATGGGCTCTGAGCCCTTCAGAGTGCACTGCAGAGAAACCTCTCTGCCAACCAAGGAGCTGAGGTTCTCCAGCTTTCTCACAAATGATGGTGGTTCTACAAGGAGACATTTTTAAAGAATATTATTGGCTTCTCTGAATATTAGCCTCGCAAAGTCAGACTTCCTGCTGCAAGCTCAGTGTTTCTATGAGATTTGTGGAAACATTCGAGATCAATAGCTTTGATGAGTGTTCAGGTAGTGAACGGCTGCGTCTCCAAACTCCTGATCAAAGAACTCAATATCAAGTAACTGATCTTGTTGGACTTTCAGAGAAATCTGCCGACATTTCTGGAGCAGAGGTTGAGCATATTTGTCCAATCAGTAAGGGTACTACTGTCTACCCTAAATATTTATATAACATTAATTGCAAGTCTGTCCATCCCAACCAAAGGAACCTTTGTTGCTCTTTTGAAAGGAGAACCTTTTTTTCTGAAAGGTTTGGTCTCGTATCGATAGATGGGGATCCGTGTTGTGATAATTTAAGGGCCTCTAAGACATACTGTATTTGTAATTTTCCAGCTATATCAAAAGTGACTGAACTCAAAGTCGCTGTATCTGTGAAGAAATAAAGCGGCATTAAATAAATGCCTACTGAGCGGTTGCCAGGTCAGGATGAAGCTTTGCGAGGCTATCCAAATAAATGGAGCAGATTTAAATGTCGGCAGCATCTAAACCAACCTTTGAGCGTTACTTGACAATCACAGGAGGCCGTGCCCACTTCATTCTCAACAGTGCACTGGTACAAGCCCAAGTCTCCTGCCTCTACTGCCAGCACCTGCAGGGCTATCAGGTCATCTTTCACCGTGATCCGGTGTCTCTTGTCATTCCTGATCGGCTTTGTGTTCTTATAGAACGACACGGTGAAAGGGGCTGAGCCAGAGACCTGGCCCTCCAGCATCACCTCAGAACCTTTCACCACATCTTTGGGCTCCATGCTACGCACAAACAATGGCGGCTCTGGAAGAGAACAGCGGACGTGTCAGCGCGTTACACTGGACCACACAAGAGTGATCCACTTGAGTTTCACTGTGAAGTTGAAAATGCTTGTCCTGAATGACTTCTTCTAGCTGTAATACCGGTCAAGACTTCCTCAGTGTTTACTCTACGGAGAGGCCACGCTCCACTAGTCTCACCAGTGGTGTTCAATTATGTCTTCGTCCACCAGGGGGCGTGGCGTCTTGACAGGATAAATGCTGACGATTTGTCATTTGAAACGAAGCAAAAAAAGACTTCAATTTCACAGTAAAAGTCTAAAAATGGGAGTAAGAACAAATCACTGGAACCAACCTTTGACTGTGACTGTGCTGCTGCAGCGGTCACTACCGGCCTCGCTGGACGCCACACAGACATAATCTCCGCTATCCTCGACTGCACAGTCGCCTATTTCCAGAGACGCCACTAAGTCAATCGAGGCCATTGTGTATTTAGGACTGGAGCTGATCTCCATCTCGTCCTTGAACCATTTGAAACCGATGACGGGGCTGCCCGTCACTTTGCACTCCAGCTTGGTGGAGTCGCTGCTGGTGACAAGTTTGGTCGCCTCGAGCTTCACCACAAACAAAGGAGGCTCTGAGAGAAGAGGTTAACATTCATTATCAGACAGAAGACATGGTGTTAGTATCAAAAGGGATATTGATGTCAAGATATTTTTTTCATGCAGCCGAACACAACGGTGAAGACGGGCACCTTTCACAAAGAGGACTGCAGTGCAATCCACCTTCCCAGCATCATTGGACACTTGGCATGTGTATTTAGAGGAGTCACTGGGTTTCACAGAGTTAAGCTCCAAAGAGCTCGAAGAGGCGTCTTTCTTTATGAAATATGAGCCTCCAGATATAACCTCTTTTTCCTCTCTGAACCACTTTACAGCTAAAGGAGCTGTTCCAGTGAAGGTTGTTCTGAAGGACACGGTGGTTCCTGGAATAACATCCTGGTTGTCAGGTTTCACTGTGAACACTGGGGGCTCTAGAGGCCATAAACAAAAACAAAGATTGCATTTCATGTTAGCATGAAACTATTGACGGATTGTACACAACAAATTAAGGAACAACACAAAGCTGAGCATTCATAACCTTTGACATAGAGCGTGCCGCTGGTTTCCTTAAAGCCGGCTGAATTGGTGGCTCTGCATTTGTAAACTCCAGAGTCGGCTTTCCCCAGCCGTATAATTCTCAGCGTAGCAGAACTGTCTTTGAATTCTGGCTGGAATTTGGATCCAGATTTGATTTCCTGGTCATCTTTGAACCAAGCTATGGTCATGGGTTGGGACCCAGACACTTTACAATCCATGGAGACGTCATTACCAATGTTACCATCAACTCTTTTCAGGGACTTGGTGAAAGTTGGAGGCATTATTCGATCTGGTTGTTGAAGAAAAAAACATCTCATGCATTAACACGATTTCATCCTGTTTTTAAAGAATCACTCGGCTAAAATCTAAAAGGAAATAACACTTTGTCTCCAACTACAATTAATGTCTATTGCAGACTGTAGAATAATGTTAGTCCCAAAATGTGTGTCAAAGTTTGTTTCCTTGTGGTTATAAACACATGTATGATGAGGAAGTAAGACGTTTTGAGTTACTAAGACTTGTCATAACATAACTAACCTAAGATCATGACCGAGCATGTGCACTGGTCTTTCCCGACTTTATTCGACACCTCCATCTTGTACTCTGAAGTGTCTCCTCTTTCTGCCGTAAGAATCTTCATGGTGGCAATATTGTCTTTCAGAGTCATCTTATATTTACGGCCACTGATCATCTCTTTGCCGTCTTTAAACCACTTCACTTTGAGGTCTGGGCTTCCAGAGATCGTGCACTCCAACGTGGCAGAATCACCTGCAGTCACACTGATGGACTCTGCAGGTTCTACGATTCTGGCAGGTTCTGAGATAAGACATAGTTAATAAGATATAAGAGATTAGACACAAGAACCTATAGAACTCTACATAGTATCTCTGCATCAAAGACGTCAACTGACCTTGCACGGTCAAGGTAGCTTCGCATTTTTGTTGGCCAGCCTCGTTCTCAGCTTGACATGAATACTTGCCGCCGTGGCTGATGGCCACCGTTGTTATGGACAAGCTAACAACATTGTTCTCAAATGCCATCTTGATGTTTGAATCATCATCTCTCAGTATTTCAGAGTCTTTTGTCCATTTAACAGAGATGGGAGCCGAACCCTTAATGGTCCCCTGTAGTTTTACTGTGTTTCCCAACACTGCTGTAGCACTCTCAACCCTCTTTAAGAAAGTCGGTGGCTCTACAAGAACAATTCAAGGGTTAAAATCTGAGTTTGAAGAATGAGATTAAACCTCGGTGAATACCATTGATTAAACTCAGGTTTACCTTTAAGTTTAGCTTGGGCCTTAGTGATGACTTTGCCCACATCATTGGATATGACACACTGATAATCTCCAACATCGGCACTATCAAAGGTCTGGATCTCCAGCCTCGACAAGGTATCTTGAAGAATTATTTTATACTTCTGATCACTGGAGATGGCTTTCTTATTTTTCAACCAGCTGATTTCAAAAGGAGCTGTTCCCATGATCTCACACTCCAGCTGAGTAGCTGCTCCCTTCACCGCCTCTACAGTCTGCAGCTCTTTTCTTATGGATGGTGGCTCTGGGTGTCAGAAGGGTAAGTAAAGTGTAGGCAGTTAACACCAAAGATTTTCTAAAATTCATAAGTTAGTGTCAAGTAAATGCAAGATTTGACAAACCTTTAACAGCTATAAGAGTGTTGCAGCTCTCGCTGCCGGCATTGTTTGACACCTCACAGGTGTAACTCCCACTGTCTGTGACCAACAGGTTCATTATCTCCAAAGAGGCAACTCCACTCTTGAAAGAGATTTTATATTTTTCTCCATCACCAAGCTCTCTGTCATTCCAGAACCAGTGGATGTGAAGTTCGGGCGATCCTTTAATGGTGCACTGTATGCGTGCAGCTATGCCTTGTTTCCAGGTAATCTTAGGTTCCAGTTTCCTAACAAAGGCAGGGGGCTCTGAAAGGAGTGTTTGATTTAAGATCATTGTCAAAAGAGACACATGACAAAAACTAAAAACTAAATAACCAAAACAGAAAAATGCAAAAAGGAAAGACAACACGACAGCGGTGCATATTGTTAGGGTCAGCTTGCAGTTGGCTGACAACAGCAATAATCCATTTGCTAATTTTTTCATCAAAGCTAACGGAAAGATCTTCTCTAGGATCTTACCTTGAACAGTTACCACAGCCTCACAGGATGAGCTCCCGGCCTCATTCGTGGCCGTGCACACATATTTCCCAGAGTCCTTCAGTTTCGACTTGGGAATGTCAACAACAGCGACCTTGTCCTCCAAGGACAGTTTACACTCCATGCTCTGGTGGACTTTTTTGCCATCCCTGGTCCAGGTGACGGTCACACCAGTGTCCTCGTCCACCTGGCACTCCAGCCTCAGCGGGTCATTGACAGCAGCTGACGCTGGCTCAACGGTCTTAACAAAGCTGGGCTTCTTGATAACCTTGAGCTCTGTGGTAAAAGTAGCAGTGCCAACACTGTTGGAGGCCTTGCACAGGTACGCTCCCTGGTCAGTCAGCTCAAGACTTCTAATGAGAAGGGAATACTTGTTCTTTTCACATTTCATGACATAGTTCCCTTCGGAGGAGATGGCTATGTTGTCCTTGTGCCAGACAACTTCCATGGGGGAGGATCCAGTGAGTGAGCACTGGAGCACAGCTTGTTTGCCCACGTATAAAGTCATTGGGTCAGGTTTTGATACAAATACCGGCGGGTACATTTCTATGGAAAGTAGGTAAAATATACAAATAAGTTGAACACATTTTTTAAAAAGTGGAAAAATTACACCAACATCAAAAATAATCTCAGCAACCTCAACTTGGTGACCGACGTAGGTCAAAACATGAGAAAATGTGATCCTCAACATCTTTAAAATCTTGCCAAACGTGACACAAGATCCAAGTCATGTACAAATCATCACTTCCGCATTGCACCATAATGACTCATGGAAAAACACATTGCAAATATATAATTCTCTCTCTCTCAAACAGACACATTGGTAAAGCAATACTTTAAAAATAATAAAAAAGGGTCCCACTGGGTCTTACCGGTGACGATTAGCATGGCGGTGCAGCTGTCAGTGCCGTGTTGGTTTGAAGCCTTGCAGGTGTATTCGTTGCTGTCGGCTTTGATTGGGTTTAGGAGCTCCAAGGAGGAACTGGTGTGGCGGCTGAGGATCCTGAACTTCTCGCTCTGCTTGATTTCAATGGCAGACTTGTACCATTTGAAGGTCACACTCAAGGCGTCTTCGATTTCACAATCGAACTTGGCCTGGCTGCCGATGTTTATCTCCAGAGGCATGATTTTCTGCCTAAAGACTGGCGGTGCTGAGGCACACACGGAGAAAAAGGTAAACGTTACTCATAGGATCTATGAAGCTCAGTTTAAAGAAAAACAACTGACAGGTCAGGAACAGGAATGGTGGAATGTACAACAATGGTGGACACAGGAGTGACTGTGGAGGAGAAAATCTGCAAGAACATTAGCCCCATGGTTTCACAAAAGGCTGGTATGATTGTATGTGATTCTCATGGGGCTAGGGTTCAGGCTACAAGGTGGAGAAACAAAGTTTGTGAAAGATGAAGCATTCTTAGGTTGAAGTCCTCGAAGCATGCAGAGAGAGATGTGTGAAGGAAATGGACCTAAAGGAATGTGACAGACCATGAGTTTAAAACAAAGGAACCTGTTGACACCAACATGCCAAAGGGACCATGAAGAAAAAGAAAAACATGAAAGTTACCTGAAGACCAGGATCATGACAACCATTATAGCAAGAAGCTCATTGACTACAGAGCCTTTCGATAAACCTGCATGGCTGTGACGGTTCTGGTCTTTAGGCGATATTTAACCACACGATGATGTGGAACGAACAAGACATAGTGAGTTAGTACCAGTGCCCTGCTGAGGGGGTTCATGCTATGAAATGAATATAGAGACCAGAATGAAATAAGTCTTGAATGGAACTGATTCATGGGAATGATTAGTCGTTCTCAGAGAAAGTGGATGAATGAATGACACATTAAGTTTTACTGTTATCAAACCTCTTGAGACCACAGTGAGTCTTGAAGATGTTGAAGTCCTGCCGGCCTCATTCTCAGCCTCACAAACATATTCTCCTTGATGCCTCTCCTTGACAACTTTGTTGATAACCAATGTGTATGTGTCGTGATCTTTGGAACACTTGAACTCTTTGCCAGAGTTCACCAATTGCCCATTGAAAAACCAGTTTACCTTTGTGACGTACTTAATGGTGGTGCTAAAAGTTATCTTACTATCTTCGTCGACGGATAAATCTTTGAGGGAGGTGACTATTACAGGGTATTCTCTCTGTTCTGCCCTGGATACAGTGATCTCCTCTTTAAAGATCTCCTCCCTGTGCTCCTTCTGGATGCTCACATCCACCACCTGTTCGGTGGGAACGGTGGTGGGAGGCAGGGTTGTGATAACAACAGCCGCTCCTACATCTTTCTCTGTGCTTTTCACCGTCACTGACCTCACTTCCTGCCTCGACACCTGCACCGACTGCTCAAAAGACACGTGAGACTCTGTGGAGACTTTGAACTGAGATGAGATGGACTGTTCCATCATTGCTGCCTTGGATTCCTGCACCACAACCTGTTGCTCAGCGGCAGCACATTCGACTGCCATTTTGGACTCTGTCTTGAGTGCGGCAGCCTGAGATTTAACAGCAGTGAAGTCCAACGCACTCTCTGCCATGCTCACAGTCTCTACCGTGGATGACAGCATTTGCTTAGAGCGGGCCGAGGTGACCTGCGCCCTTTGAGGTTTGTCTAGCTGCATAGTGCCCGGCTGGTCTGAGGTAAGAACGTCGGCTTCCTGGTAAACTATGGAGTGGAAAGCTGCTTGGAGTTCAGTCCTGATGTCAGCTGTCTGAGGGTATTTACCCTCAAAAGCCAGGGTGATCTCCATGGGGGCACCTGTTGTTGTGATCAGGTATGTAAACATGGCCCGCTTGGGCTCTCGCTGAACCTTGACTTCCTGTACCTCTACAGCCTGTAACCTTCCCACCACGTCAGCCAGTAACACCGGCTGGTCGCTGGCCGTAGCGGACTGAAGAGCGTCTCTGAGCTGACGCCGAATATTTAGACTGAAAGGTTTAGGGATGTGAATCACAAATGTCATCTCTTTGGGAAGAGCGGTGCTGTCTTTCGATTCCGATGCCATAATGGACAGTTTCGGCTGTGTGGTGACGATGACTTTAGTGGACTCAGACTTGGTGATCTCTTGAGAGAGCTCACCGGTCAGCACTCGCTTCTCGTCCATCACTATAGACTGCCTGACTGACTGTCCCTCCTGGATCTGAACGGCAAAGTCCTGTTCTGCTGCCTCTAGAAGGACACTACTCTCAGTGGAGATCTCCTTCTCCTCAATCTGGATCGGCTCTGTGGGAAGTTTTGGCTCTACCGCCATCTGGCAGGTGAATTTATCCACGGCGGTGAGACTCTCAGTGTGGCCCTCCTCTAAGGCCTGACTGTCGGCCACACTGGGGACATGCATCTCGTTCAAGCGATCCTCCTTCTGCACCAAAGCTCGCTGCTGCTTGACGTCGGAAGTAACTGGCGTCTCTTTCGGCAGCTGCATGGGCTGGAAGGAGAGCTGGAGGATGTTCTGAGGCCTGGGTTCAGTCCGAAGTTGAGACTGAAAGCCCGTCACGGACAGATCCAGCTCTGTGTGATAATCTGCCGTGAGCTCCCTTCTCTCCTCCGAGGTGGCTGCGTGCCTCCTCGTCTTTTCTTGTTTCTGCGCCGCCACCTGCTGTTCGGGCTTCTCAATTGTGAGGATACCCTCTTTGGGTAGCGCCTCCACAGATTGGGATGACGGGAGATGCAGCGAAGCAGGAGCCTCTTTCTGGGGCTGGATCGTCGTGGTGCTAGCCTTGGCCTCAAACTCTGATGTGTCCTCATAAACTACTGTCCTCTGCTCATCTTGGGTAACGGTGTGCAGCAGAGTGGGACTCTTTCTAGCTCCTGCCTGCTCTGGTGCGGGTTTCTCACAGGTGAAGCTCTTCTCAGATGGAAGGAGGTCCTGGTCTGTGATAACCTGCAGGTGCAACAACTGCTCTCCTTCTACCTGTGACTGAATGGACATGGCACTGGCCAGACCTGGCAGCTGCTGAGTGGGCTCAGCCTGCAGCATTTGCTTCTCTTCAGCAGTTAGCGCTACATTCATCACTCTATCCTTACAGAGATGGGCTGTCTCCTCAGTGGGCCTCATCATGGAGAACTTAGTCTCCTTGGAAAGAGTCTGTTTAGACTCGCTGACTGAGGCCAAGACAGGTCGGTGCTGTTCTTTACCTACGGAGGACTTCACAGCAGAGTCTGCTGTTGCTAGTTCAGTTGTGTGGCCCTCTGCAAGCACCCGTTTCTCTGCAGACTGGGCTGAGTATAAAATCTTAACACCTTCTTTAACCTTATAACCCTTCTCCTCCTGTGTTTTGGGGATATCCTGAGACTCCTCTTTTAGGATGGGCAGTTGTGACTCAACTTGATGCCCACTGACTAGATGTTTAGGTTCTGAAGTGGGCCTGATGGTCGCAGACTTCCTGTCGGCCAGAGACTCTGTGCTAACAGTAGAAAGTGGGGTGAGCTCCTCAGCAACAGCTGACATCACCACTGACCTCTTTTCTCGAGCTGCCTGGAGCTCAATGACCTCGGGGCTTACAATGCGATCACAGTGCTGCTCTGTGAGGTCCTGACTCTCTTCAACTGACGACGTAAACGCCGTCATGTGGAGCTGTTTCACAGGAATGGTCGAGACCTGAGGCGGACGGGTGGGAACCACAGACACCCTCTCCTCCATCTCGTGAGACTGAAGCATTGCTGCCTGGTGGGTCAGCTGCTCGCAATGAATAGTGGCAGCAGAGATTTCTAGCTCGCCGAGGGAGCCCACTTGCTCACTGGGAATTATCTGCCGGTCTTCAGTGCCGATGGTGTAAACCATCTGATCTGACCTGGCTCTGTCCTGGCCTGGGAGGCTGACCTGGTACAAGCGAGACTCTGTCGCTTGTTCCGTCATTGAAACCTTGTAGCTTTTCTTCTGAACCGTCGTCAGCTGCTCCTGTTTGTGAGAAACAGAGACGGACTCTCTGAACACAACAAGCTCGGCACTACAAGACGCCTCCCCAAACTGGTTGGAGGCCTTACATGTATACAGACCACTGTCCTTCTGTGTGACACTCTTGATACTGATAACGCCAGATCCATCTGGGTTGGCTATAACGATGCAGTTTCTACTGGGCTGGATCTGAAAAGCCCCCTTGAACCACGTCACACCAGGGATCGGATCACCACTGGCTTTGTAATTAAAAGAAACCTCCCGTCCTTCTGAGCACCTCACAGGTTGGATCTGAATTGTGAAAGTAGGAGGTTGACCCGTGACCGTGAACATCTTCTCTACCCATTTCTCTGCCTGGCTAACATCAGACTTTTTCACCTCGAGGTATGTGGTGCACGTTGTCTGACCGAATCTGTTGGTGGCAGTGCAAGAGTACTCGCCCTCAAACTCAGATGTGACCTTTGTGATTACTAGCGTGTACTCCTCCTTCTCTTCTATCAGCTTGTAAATGGAGGAGGTCCTAATGACCTTCCCGCCGTGAGACCATTGAACGGTCGGCTTTGGAAGGCCGGACACTTTGACGGTGAACCGGGCCGTTTCTCCGGTGGTCACGGCTGCTGGGGCGAGCTGGCTGAGGAAAACTGGCTTTTCTTTTTTCTTCTCTAAAGAGGAAGAGTAACGTTTCGACTCTGGCTTGAGTTCAAGTGTTTTTGTTTTCTGTGGTAACTGGACACCAGTGTAGTAGGTTTCCTCTTGTTCTTCCACAGTGGTGATGGTGGTGCTACAACGTTCTGTCAGGAAATATTGAGCAAGACTGATAACAATATCCACAACACAAAAGCTGTAATATTAACATTGAATTGACAGCAGGAATAAACAAAGAGGAAGAAGTGAGGGCTGTCTTTGACCACAGAAGTTCTTAGTCCACTAATAGTTGTAGGATTTTCTCCAATTAATCGATAAAATGGCACAATTTAAACAAAAAACAATCTTTCAGTTTACAAAGACCCCAATTATCTATTAGTTGACTAAGTGATGAAGAGACGACAGCCCTTCCACATATATAGTAAAATTAAAGAGATTAGATGCTTTGTTAACATAAACATGTTATAAACATAAAAGTTTTCCCCCAAACGGATAGATGATTCATTGACCTAAAACGTTTATTTTCTGGTAATATATCACAATTTAATTTAACTGTTTTCCTTAATTACCAATCAATTGTAATTCATTTTATAACAAATGTTTGATAATTAGCATAATTACCAAAAACTTGATTTTATTTTTTGCAAAAAAAAAGAAGGAAAACAATATCTGTTGATGTATTAATACTGGTATCAAAACATCAACAATAATACTAAGTCGTACACAACATGAGTAGTTTTTGACACCTGCATTTTGTCCGTAAATAAGACGATTGTCAAACGGACCACGTAAACACCGGGCGATCGTGTTCATCCATTTAAATTGTTAAAAAAAAAAAAAACTTAGACTTCGCCTTCAAATCATTCATATTTTTATTATATAAACTCTGAGACAAACCAACATGACATCTGTACAAATAAACCATGAACTTCTATCTCAATGCTCAATCTACTACTCATATACTCCTAAAATTACACATATTTACATCAAAACATGTATTTAAAAATTTTTGAAAGTTTCACAGTATTATCCATTTTTCAAATATTTACTACTCTATTATAAAATACTTGCTTTATGAAAATCCTAAAAATGTCATTCACACTCCAAAAAAAACAACTCAAAGAAATCAGAAAAAAATACTGCAACAAACTTCCACAAATCACACAAGCAACAATAAACTGAGCCATTTAAGTGGGAATTATGACGATATAATCTTGATCGTTTTCAGATTGACTTTTGATCCTATGACTTCAAATTAATTTTATATTTAATAATTACTGCTATTGTATCTATTTCTTATTATTCAAACACGGCAGTGACGTATTAAAAACCACACATTTTGCGTTTTTTGCGCAAAACTAAGGTGACATTGATAATAATAATTTGTTTCCTTCTGCAGGAGATCAAAGTTTCCTTTCTTATCCTTATTCGTTTTAGTTATTTAACAATTAAGAGTTTGTTACACAACACAGTTGTAGTTTTCACTGCTAAAGAAATGTTATTTGACATTTTAACTCATAATTGCTGTTTTTTTCTGGTCAAACCAGACCAAAAATATATCTTTAAGTTAGTTCTGATTTATTGAAAATATTCCCGGCCCTGATAATTATAGGTGGTTTCTAAAGTTTATATTTATTTCCTATATGGATTATTTTAAAATAATTTACCTCTTCATTTTGACTTTGTAGTTTCTACACACTCCTGTTCTCACTAATTTAATAAAAATAAATACCTAAAATGTCAATATGTATTTCTGTAAAGGTTTTCTTGTATAAGAGATTGTTGTTTCACACTTATGTCTAACATTCCTAGTTGTTGTTGTTAACTTTTGTAGTGCAAACTGTTGTGAACAGCACAATGTTAGAAACAGACCAGTGAAGACCAGCACAGACATTACCTCATAATGTCATAAATACAATTTCAAAGTTAAAGCAGCTCACATTTAAAGTGTAACCAGATAACAAAAGCAAACATAAACCCAGATTTTTCTACGAAAAATGAAAATAAAACTGTATAAAGACAAACAATTGTTCACTGTTTTTCCCACATGACTACGTTCTGGTTGCACAAAGAGACATTTAAACTTTTCGACTGTGTTAGACAAGTCTTGGCTTTGCTCTTAGACAAATACCTGCAATCTACTTGCAATTTGTAAACCGTGTTAAGCAAGCAATTAAAAAATAACTTTTTTAGAGGGCTTATAGATGTGAAAATATTTAGTTTTATTAAAGCTGTTGCTTCACTCATTATCTGTTTACCAGTAGATCAGCTTGTAAAGTTTTATTGGTCAGTCTTTTTTTATTTCTACAACCTTAAAGTAGTGAAGAATTAGCAACATACAACAAAAGAAGAGTAAAGGTATCTTTGTGCAACCGGACCCTTCAACCTCTAAAACACCTTCAGCAGCGCAGCAGTTTCAATGCAACCAGCTATGTTTTGGATGATGCACCTGTACTCACCAGCATCACTCTGGGTCACGTTAGTAATGAGCAGATTGAAATGGCCTGCGGTTTTCTCCTGGATTATACACCTGCTGTCAGTGACGCGGTCTCCGTCTTTGAACCACTCGGCGGTGGGGTTTGGCTTACCGCTAACTAGACACTGGAGGATAACCGGCGTCCCTACGGCCGCGGTAACGTTAGCCAACGGTATGACGCATTTAGGGGATGTCTCAGTCACCTGGAACTGGAAGCTACACATATCAGAGGACTTCCCTTTGAATTCTATTTTGTCATCTTTTGCAGGTTCGGCAAATACATCGAAGTTGACGCTAACATATTTCTCTCCCTGCTCGCTCATTTCGTTGTCGGTCTTGGCCACCAGCCTGACCGCCCGCTGTGACTCATCCGCCTCTTGCTCAAACTCAAACTCAAGCTCAATTTCTGACACCTGTTTGCTGTCGAACGACGTGTTTCCGACCACCAGGTCGAACTTCTGTGGCTGGACTTTGGCGCTTCCTAAGGACACGGCGGTCAACTCCCTGCCTCTGGTCTTCCCTGAGAAAGCTTTGGCGTTTACCACTACCAGAGAGGCCCGACACAGGGTCTCCCCAACAACGTTGATAGCCCTGCAGGTGTACACTCCGCTATCCTGTGTGGTGACTTTAAATATCTTCAGGAAGTGGTTGTCTCCATCAGATGAGTGCAAGTATTTTTTGTTATTGTGGGGAATTTTTTTGTCGCCTTTGAACCAGGACACGATGGGAGAAGGAATTCCCATCAGTGAGCACTCAAACATGACCATGGTACCTTCGGGTGTTTCCATGTCACAGATGGGATTGATGAACCTCGGAGGCATCTCCGTGACCTCGAAAGCTATTTTCAAATCATCATGCTCCTGGGTGACAAAGTCCACGGCACCCTCCTCATAAATACTCGGCAACACATCCAAAGATATGATCATGCTCTTGTTGTCGGCGGTGTACTCAGGGATGGTGATGATCTTAACCTGTCTCTCAAATTCCTTCACCTCGTTTTCATCCAATTCTACTTCAAGCAGAATCTCCTGAGGAGAAGGAGAACGAGAAGAGTCGTCTTCCTCCACGTCAAACTCCATCACATGCTGATGGGTGACCGCAGGCGGAGCAGGCATGAACCTCACTTCCTGCGACACAACCACTACTAAAGCAACACTTCTGGCTTCCCCGACGTAGTTCACAGCATCACAGATATATTCTCCCTGGTCGGCCTTTCTGACGTTGTTAATCGTTAGCGAGATGCTATCACCGTCTCTCTCCATTTTAAGTCTGTCGTCTGCCACCAGTTGCGTTTTGTTGCAGAACCACTTCACTTCGGGGGAAGGTAGACCGAACACCTCAGCGTAAAACGTGAGCGAGTCATTCTCAAACACTCTTTTCTTAATGAGCGGTTTGAGGAAGGCAGGAGGGATTCCCTGCACTTTTTCCTGAAGGGTTGCCAGGCCCAAAGACCCTATTCCCTTGGTGAGGTATGGATTGTCGTCCACGTTTATTCCGGGAGGGGTTGTTTCAATGCCCTCATCACCAGGTGATGTCAGGAACTGAACAGGAGAGAAGAACCTCTCGCTGGAGTCACCTGTCGAGGGTCGCTTTTGTTCTACAGGGGAGAAGGGATAATCTTGAGGGGTCATGAACCCACCGGCGGTATCGGAACTTGCAGTATGGAAGGACATGTGGGACTTTGGAGTGTGGAAGGACTGTGCAATTGGCTGTGAGACCTCGGTGGACGAGCCCGGGGTGTAGAACCTCTCGGCTGCCTCGGTTAGCTCTTCGCTCACAGTGCTGCCGATCTCTATGGACATCTCAGACTCAGGGGACAGTGGTCTTCCCCAGTCTGTTGGAGGGTTGTAAAAGTCGTACACAGCACCAAAAGTGACCTCCTCTTCCTCCATGGAGCCAACTGCTGCTGCTGCTCCTCCAGCTTCAGCTGCTGAGGCCTCATCCAAACTACCTTTTTTCTGTAAAGATGCGACCGGGCTTTGAAGTCCCTCAGCAGCAGCATCATCAGGAACAGCAAGTGCTTTAAATCTGCTGTCTACTTCCGGTTTAGGATTTGACTTCACATGGACATCAATCATTTCATCTTCACCCTTGATTTCGGAATGTGGCTCAACTACATCAGCAGCCATGTCCTCAGCTACCTCTCTCATGTCGGCCTGGGACTCCGGCATACTAAGAAAGACACCACTGTCCATAGAGGGCTCTGGGATTGAAATCAGCTCCTCCCCTGCAAGGACCGTACTGACGTCAGCTTCTCTATGAACAGAGGAAGACCCTCGAGTTGCACTTTGTCTCTCAGGTTTGAGAGGCGCAGAAATAGTTTTTGGCTTAACAGCTTCTCTGACTGGAGCTGAAGTTGTAACGGAGCGTTTTACTGCAGGATTTTTTTCAGACTGGAAAGGAATGAAGCTGCTAGTTCTGTCAAATGTGTGCACAGTGTCCTCCCTCAACATCTCCACTTCAGAGACCTCCATTTGTTGAACTATAGCAGGTTTCTGTGCTTTAGGCCTGACCAGGTGTGGAGACTCCTGCACTTCCTCCACAAACTGTTTAATAACTCCATGGCTTTCTGCTAAAACTGCTTCCTCATCAACATCACCAGATATCACAGAGATCTTGCGGTCTCCCTCCTGAGAGGAGGTGGTCTGGGAGGTCGTGGCAGAGACAGGT